TTACACATATTATTGTAAAATTAAACGTGTAAAAATATACATTTAACTGTGTAAAACACAGATGAAATGTGTAAAAATATAATACGCGTATAAATGTATAAAAAGTGACTACAGATTTACATATACACACTTGGATTTGGAGTGATATTGATAGCTTATTACAAATACTGTACCGCCGCAATATATTTTCTAAAGAAATGTACACTAATTGCCATAGTGATTGATCCCTCGCAAGCAACATATTATTTTCTATAAAACAATCCAAATAATATAATAGTAAATAAGCTTAGATATACATATATTGCGATCGCACTTATAAGCGTGGTTTTCCACAATTCCGTCACCGAGCTACATATTATAGTTGAATTTTTAATTTGAAATGCTCTATAAATTCTCTATGTAATATCTCCTACTAACAAATACGATTTTAGAAGACAAAGAACGAATTAATTTTTTTTATAAAGAATTAAATATAATAACAAAAAAAAACAAAAGAATTTTGAACTTAGATATAAAAAAAGTCTATATACTTATCAAGTACAGACATAAAATACATATAAAAAGAGATTTCCAGATAATAATACATCTTATTTACATACATAACATTAAATAAACAATATTATATATATAACATTAAACAGATAATTATATATATTTATATATATATATATATATATATATATATGTATATAAATTATAATTAAATATTTTTTCGCACAATATTAAATTATGTGATGTATTAATAATATTTATGTTGTATAAATTAAATAAAATCTTAATAAATTTACAGAATGTAATTTGCAAAATGGAAGATTATTATGAGCAAGCAAACGCTGAAGAAAAGGACGTATTTCAACAATTCATTAACAAATATATTTTATTTTACGGAACTACATTGGCATTAACTGCTGCATCCTTAGCTGGTTCCCTTGTGGTACCATTAATTCGATCCCGCATGTTTCCGCTAGAAATAGAATATCCTTTCCGCGTTGACTATCAACCAATGACGGCGATAATCTATTTTCATCAAGCACTTGGTATGTATCAGGTATATTGTCAAGTGAGCGCTAATGTTTTCCTCGCCCTTCTACTGTGGTTTACAACGGCTCGCTTTGAAATTTTGACCAACAAATTCCGTTCGATCACCAAGTATTCTGACTGGAAAACATGTATACAAGAGCATCAAGAAACTCTAAGGTATATAAAAAATACAGATTAGCATTGGAACTGATCAGTTGTATCAAATTTCTATCGAAATCGCCTTCCTTTTTGTCATCGATCTCTAAAAGTTATTATTTTTTTTTTATTTTTATCTTAACAAACAGGGCCCCGCAACATGTTCTAATTTTAGTATTAATAATATAAAATTATCATACAAATTAAGAAACGAAAAATACGGTCCAAGCGGATGTTGGTGCTCGATAAAATTATCATTATTTTTTTATTACAATATTTATCCTTCATGTTAATTAATTAATCGCAAAATTATTCTCAATTCTGACAGATATGCGAAAGAAATGAGTAGTTCTATCGCACACGTAGTGTTATCATCGCTTGGTGTTAGTACTGTAGCGCTAGTTTTTGGCGGCGTTACGTTTCTCAGTGTGTGTATATTTATACCGTTTATCGCAATATTAAGCAACACTAACTTAAATAATTTCTGTTTCTCAAATAAAATCTTTTAAATAGAATTTTCCGCCGTCCGTAAAAATTCAATATATAATCGTATGTTCTACATCATTAACAAAAGTACTTCTGTGCGCTTGGCCAGCTGATCATTTAATGAGAACAGTACGTCTGAATAAAAAAAAATATCTAAAACTGAACATTATAATAGATAAAAATATGTATTTTTAAATATATATTTCAGAGTTCTAATATTGCTGAGGCAGCCTATAATTCATTGTGGTACAATCAAAACATCAAATCGCGAAAAATTATGTTATATACTTTGCTCCGATGCCAACGAGCTGTAGTTATATCTGTTCCTGGTTTACTAAAAGCTTTAACCTTTCAGCATTATGCTTCTGTAAGAGAATGCCTTGCAATATCCCAATCAATCACTAATTCCATACAGAATATAACGTAATTTATGGTACAATAAAAAAAGTGATTTCCAAAAAACATACTCTAAAAATATAAAATAAAACTTTATGTTATAAAACAATATACATGCGTGTGTAAAACCACGTAATAAAAATAGCTTTAAAAAATTAAAATTAATAATACTTTATTTCATTAATATTAATAATTTGAATAATTTTTACAATCATTATATGTACGCAACCAATTTTGTTTTATGAAATAAAGTTTTATTAAAATGTGAATAAGAAGATGCATTTTATAAGAAAAAGATTTAAACTTAAAAAATTAAATTTATTTACTATACATAATTTTCAAATAATTTACTTTTTATTTAAATGTTATTAATGTAAAAAGGACAAAAATTTATAATTAAAATATCTTTTTGTTCTATAATTAAATTAATTCCAAAAACGCCCTATGCCAAATTTTTAAACATCATCTATAAATCAAAAGAGAAGATACAAATTATTTAACGTAAGAAATTGCCTTTTTCTGATTGTACCATCAATTATAATACATACATACTTTGTATTTAATTTTACTTTTTTTCTAGTTTTGTACACAATGACAATAAATTTAATATTAAGCATCATCAAACTAGTTTTACCATTATAAAATTTCATTGATTTTACAGTACGTTTCAACGGCATTTTCTTACTTAACGACGTTTCGCATAATTCTTTCTGAGGAAACATAATTTCAAGGAAAGAACTAAATTTCTTAGAACGGAACAACTTCGTCTGCGTAAATAGTAATACAGAAGAATACACCAGGTTTTACAAAAATAAAAAAAAATATTAATATAACAATTCTGAAAATTAATATTAATTATAATGCGCTCAATTTTAACCTTAATTTTAGCTTTTCAATTTTATAGTTACTTTTAGACTATAGAAAGAAGACTTTGTATGTAAATATTAAAAACATTTTTAAAAGCTTTGAAAAAAGTTTCTATGATATTTATCCTCGTTAATACATTATGTATTACCAAATTTGTACATCTAAAGCTTGGAACATGTGACAATAATTATTACAGAGAGAATATGTAACATTAATATTTTAATTTAATATAATACAGTGTAAAAACATATAATACAAATTTATTTTTCTGTCTTGTCATATTAATTTTCTTTTTGAAGAAAAATATTTAACGATAAGGTCAAAGAAAGTACATTAAAAAAGTTAATTAAACTGATGTTACATTCAATTAAAGATTAGGTAATTATTCAGGAGAAGCACTTTCGATGACTTTAATCTTGGCATATGCTATATCTATATATCTATATAATGTATCTAGCATAGAATTCTATCAAAATTTTGATTTGCAAACCGTACTATATCATAAAATTAATATACAACAATGATACGGTGATAGTCAAAAAGTCTGTATCTACACGGAGAGAATTTTTTTTTTAATTTACCCTGCAAATCATGTTAATTATGGGACAATATAGTATTTAGGTAAATTTTACTGTGCATTGCAATAAGATTTCGCAGTAAAATTTATTGTAGTGCAC